GAGAATCGCCTGATAGTAATTAATGCTACTATAGTGATAATAATTTCGATAATTTAATGTAAATTCTTTTAAAAATTCATGCCTTAATGAGTATTTTGGAATGATGCATTAAATAATTAAAATTATTTTACTCGAAAATATATTACCTAATTTATTTTGAGAATAGAAAATTTAATTTTGTCATTCGTTTAGCGAAGATTCTTTTTGTTTTTCTTTTATATAAAATTTGATATTGTTTTATTTTTAAAATTATATTTTCGAAAATTTAATGATAATTTTAATAATTCTTTAAAACTCTTTTGTCTTATTTTATTTATTATAATTTGATTTATAGGCCTAAACAATTTGAGATTTGAAATAAATTTTTTAAAAATAATTATAAATTCGCTATTGTAAAATTATTATCTTATTCTAAATTTAATTTAATTTACCATTTTTAAATACTGTAAAACCTGTGCNTTATAAAAATCGCGCAAAAATAGGATGTGACGTTCTTGGTTCTAAGTTCGGTGTGCTCCGCTTCTGGGTTTTTCCTGCGGTTCGTCGTCCCGAAAGAAGTTTTCGCCATCCTGTCCCAGCAACTTTCGCCAAGGGTAATCTACTGTGAGAATCACCCTTTCAAGTTGTGCTGTGCACCCCAGAGTCTACGTTTTCCTCATCATCTTCGCCAAAAGAAGAGAAGATCGTATAATTGAACTTTATTTACGAACTGATTCACTTTGTGGATAGGCCTTACGCCGAAGAGAACAGTAGTTGTAAGCGAAATTTTTATATTTAATAAACAGTTTGCGATGGAAGACCTGTCTCAGTAAGTTTTTCCACTCCCACACGACAGTCGCTGACCGCTCGACTGTCGCGACACTTTTTCCCCAATCGGCAAACCTCGCACTGGTGTCAGAAGTGGGATTTTAAGTCCCCAATTTCCACCGGGCCAACGACTTCGCACCGGTATCAGCAAGCGGGATTTTTCTGATTGTTTTTGCAACATTTGCAAACAATTTCAGTCCCACAATAATTGCTGAGGCAGCCGAGAGAAAAGTGGGAAGGAACTATGGAAACAGAGACAGGCTCTCAAGCGCCAACTCGCGACTTAGGAGGCGGCTCGCTTAGCGCCCTTTCAGCCTTTAGTGGAATGATACCTACGTACGCGGGAGACGTGGGGCGCGTAACAGATTTTTTTGATACGTTAGGAAAAGTCGCGGGATTAGCAGGTTGGACCCCTAAACAATGCTTAAGCATCGCTAAGTGTAAATTGACAGGGATAGCGAGAGATTTTGCGTGGCGCGACCTCCAAATGAAAGAAGTAACGGAGTACGCAACTTTTAAACGCCTAATGATAACTAGGTTTGACCAAGAACCATATTCCATTAAGGTACAGAAATTCCACGCGTGTACGCAGCGCAAAGATGAAAGGGTTCAAGAATTCGCCGTTAGGTTACAAACGTTAGTTAGCGCGATAATCGTAGATCAAACCGGGACAAACGAGCAAGAGAATGCCATTATCAAGCGGTGTCAGCAGAGAGAATTGGACGAGAAACTCCGCATTCAATTCTTGCACGGCTTAAATGAAAAAATGAAGAGCAACGTAATGACACACGATCCAGCTACATTTTCAGAAGCTTTAAAAATAGCGATAAGAGAGGAAACAATCGAGCAATTGACTAACAAACAGCGAAATTATATAGGAAACGTAGAGGAGTCGGCAGAGAATTCCCGAACTAAAGCTGACAAAACAAAACCCTGTAAGGAAGAGGCATTAGAAGCGAAAATTAGTCAAATCGCTAAACAGATAGAAACTTTAGGGAAGAGATTAGACAATCGGTCCTTGACAGCGCAAACAACTAGTGCGCGAGGAGGAGAATTTAATCAAAATAGACGAATGACGTCATCCGCGATGCGAGAGAGACAGGAAGTAGGAAACTCCAATACCTATTCGAGCTCTCNGTGTTAATCTTTCATGTTATAACTTTAAAATATTTTATAATTTACGAAATTTAAAATATGTTTCAATTTATTAAAACACAAAATCATTTAAAAGCTCTCTACAAATTTTAATTAAAAATATATTTAATTATGTGTATTGATAAAAATCGCCACTAGAAGATTAAATATAAATATATATTAAATTTTTATGATTAAATTAATTAAGTTAAATCTATAAATACATGACTATGTAAACTCTTATAAAGAAGAGTTCTCATAGTTATAACTGTATAATTATACACAATTTGAATATAAAACACGGCTAAAAATATGTTTATAAAATAATTGAATTAAAATGAAAATTATATATTGGAAACATTCAATTTGTTTGCCAATCAAACGGGATAATATCTAAAACTTTTCCTACTTTCGAATCTGGGCGAATCACATATTTTACATGGATGGCAACACTGGGGTGATACGTTGGGATAGAAGGAATAAGGATGAGAAACGATCGTCTGACAATAATATGGCACAGTCCATCTTAATGGATAATAAAATGGCGTCTTACATGCCGAACATGGACAGTTGACCATTCCCGACGAGGACGGTCTCGACATAACTGATACATTCGTTTGACTAACGAAAGCCGAAGAACCGGGATTTTGATTCGGAACTTGGCTGACGTATAACCATTTTTCCGGAAGTCGGGATGGTTCCTGCCAAAACGAGGCCGGAAATCGACGTTGACGTAACGGGACGGACGCAACCGCTTCGTCTTCTTTGCTATCTTCTACCGAACTGGAGATTTTTTCCGATTTATTCTCTTTTTCCATATTAATTTTTTCGTTTTTTCTCGAAATTATATGCGAAATTTACCTGAAATACGTAAAAAATACACACGGTTAAAACTTTTGTGTAACTTTTAAGATTCGTAAAGTCACTAGCTAACTGAGAAAAGGTGGAATTTTAACGCTAATCGTATATAACGCGCAGGCATACCAGGTAAGTTAGTCGTTTAATTAGAAAGAAAATAAGAGTGTAAAGGTTAAGAAAAGCTAAAGAAACTTCGTAAAGTCTCGTAAATGCTATAGAGAAGTATTATAAATGAAGTTTTGGGTTTTTTTTCGGTACTCACCGTTTGTCGAAAGAGAGCGTCCATAACGTTGATGCAACTCGTAGAGAAGCAAACGTTGAACTGACAGACTCCGTCCACCTGTCTCGTCGGATTATTCAGCGTTCGGATGGGGTAGTGAGGTATGCGGTCGTTTCCAACCGAAAAATCTCTTGGTATGTGGCGAAGACTGGTCGGAACGCGACATCCGACATGCCCCGCATAGCGCAGTCGTTCTAAAGGGAGGACGTGCCCAGGCGAGCAATTAGCGACACCGTCGTCATCATTGGAAGGTGCGACATACCAATGACTGAGAAGAAGAAGAAGAAGAAAAATAAAAAGAATAAAAAAGCGCTTACACCCTCCTCCCTCCCGTCTTACAAAAGGAGTTAGAAGGCGCATGGATTTGCTGACATCGATGCTTTCGAGCGGTAAAATGACAAAAATTTTCTCGGTATTTGGTTAAATCTCGTATGAATTTGCTCCGGGAGATATTTAGAGACGTCACACATTCTTCATTTCGCTCCACTCGCTTTTTTTTATTTTTTATTTTATTTTATTTTTTTTTATTTTTGGAAGAGCTTCTTTAAGAAATTGCTCATTTCGATGAAACAGTTTTTTTTTTCGTTAAATTAAAACTAAACACTTTTAAAATTTTAAGTAAGTAATTTTGTAAAATATCTTCGTTAATTTATTTTTGTTTTTTATGAAAGAGAAGTTAAAATATTTTTCTCTCATTTGTTTTTCTCGAAAATTTATGTAATGTGGCACCATTGTCTTGATGAATTGAGGGTGAAACGTGTTTTAATTAATATTAGTTTTTAAAGTAAATAAAAGATTGCATTAAAGTTTATTTATAAATGATTAAAACTGAAGATAAATTTAATTCATTAAGTTTAAAAGTTTTGTATTGAATTAATTCATATTTGTTCTATTTTGTCCTGCACGCCACTAATTTCCGGGCAACCTATTTGTGAAGTTAGCGAATGGGCCAATCAGTTGCAAAACTCGAACCCGCATTCACATGTATAATGATTTAAAGGCTGTGCTAAGTGAGAAATATCAAACGTAAAGATAAAAAATAGAAAAATATTAAATTGTTTTACATTCTAGATAATTAGGGAATTTTGGACAACGAATAGGCCGACAGAACTTCTAAAGAAACAGCTACAGACCCCAAACTGGAAGAATTATTTCTTCCTTACTCTATTCAAATGAATAATTTCCATATCAGAGTGGTGCTTTTGGAAGCATATCTAGCTTAATACGTGTAAAAGCGCAAACATCTCTTCTACCTGTCAGTTAGAAATGCTTTTTTCCTCGCCATTATTAATCTAATCTTTCCAGGAAGTCAATTACTTAGAATCTACGGAAACCTAAATGCCAAACTGACAAAATTCAGAAATACCTTTTTGTAGTATAAATAAACCTAAACTGTACAACATATTGTGTAAATGTATAGCCTACAAAAGGGAAGGGCATCTGCTATAACTGCCCCTATCTTGCCCCTATAGATCCTATGGACAAGGATCCTTAGAGGCAGTTGCAGAATCGACTTGCAGAATCACTTTTCTACAATTTCATAATCTCTTTTAGCAAATTGAAACTCCGCAGAAGTATGCTCCATTAAGTCTAAAATAATTATTCTTTTTATTAAGTAGTTACTACAGTATTTGTAATAGTGTAATTATCTATAATAAAATTCATCCAATCGTAACCGTATATAAAGTTTTATTTTTATTCACTAGATGGCGGAAGATAGTAGCAAATGTTTCGTGTGTACGGTAGGAGGTGTTAATCTTTCATGTTATAACTTTAAAATATTTTATAATTTACGAAATTTAAAATATGTTTCAATTTATTAAAACACAAAATCATTTAAAAGCTCTCTACAAATTTTAATTAAAAATATATTTAATTATGTGTATTGATAAAAATCGCCACTAGAAGGTGCTGATGTTAATTTACTGTTAACGTGTTTACCACATGGTTGGGTGAAAAATGGAATCTGAACGAAATTTTTGTTTAGAACCTCTTCGTTTGGTATTACAACAGTTAAAATCGTCTAAAAATTGCAAAAAATCGGAATTAGAACTTTTAAAATTTTGTTTAAACTCTGTTATTAATTCATCGAAGTCGGATAAGTTCAACTGTAAACAATATTTTGATATATTATTTGATGTTTTTAAATATTCTATTTCAATTTTAATTGAAAATAAAGTGAACGAATTCTCGTTTACACTTTATCAACAATTATATTGTGATATTTTACAAATAAGTTTATTAGAATTACTTAATTGTGAATGGAAAGAAGCTTGTTATGAAGAATTACACAAATTATTAGACTTTTCACTTAAATGTTTCAATGTTATGGAGAAAGAAGACACAGTTCAAGAAGAAGAAAAACTGCAGATTATTAATGCTTTAAGTTACATTTTAGATGTCGTGAAGGCAATTAATGGAAAACTGTCTGGTCAAATCCTCATTTATGTTCAAAGCTATTTTATAAATCTTTGTAAGAGTTTACAAATAATTTTACAGCATACAAATAATACTGTCACAGCACATTTAATGATATATATTTTTAAAAAGTTATATGTTATGGATAATGAATGCAGTATGCTCAAAAGTACATGGAACACTATTTCTTCATTTTTTGAATATAAAGAGAATGATTATCTTCAAGAAAAGCATACAACAACTTATTTAATACTTTGTTGCATAATGGAACATTTTTCACCAGAAAAACCTATGCCTTTTTTTACTAGAGAAAAGTTGTTTTGGGATATTGTTAATCATGGTCTTAAACATTCTAATTCTATTTCTCGGAAAAGAGCCATGTTTATATTGAAGTGGATATTGAATTGGTGTGATACTAACTGCAAACGGGGTGAATGTATTAATTTAGCTAATTTATTTTATTGGTATTCAAGTGATGATGATTTAAGGATTGCATGGGAAGATCTAACAGTTATTTTAGAAACTCTAGAAGAAAAACAGGTAAATTATGAAAATTATTTAATTTTTGCAATAATATAAAATATTTGAAGATCTTTTCATTTAGGAAAATATTATTTATTAACATCCTATAGTTTTTCTTAAATTCCTTTTAAAATAAAGTTTAGAAAATAACAAGATTCTGTTCAAATAGTTACAAAAATATACCTAAGCTATAATATATCAAATACATAATCTTTTGAACTGATTAAAAATTTTAAAATTTGATGTAAATTAAAGAATTAATAGTATGTCATGTTTCTACTGTTTGTTTTTACACACAGTTTTTAGCTAAATATGTAAAAACTGCCGAACAAAAATAATATATTTTAAAATAAATATAATTTTTTTTCTTTATGCTTGAAATGAAGCAGGTCAAATATTTAAGATTTGAAAATCAATGTACTTTATGATCAAAAACATTTATAATACAGTGAAACTTCTAAGTCTTGAATTTGAAGAGATTAAAAAAATTGATCAGTTTGAGTGAGTTCTACATATGGAAATACAGTGGAACCTCAGAATGCACTTAATCCAGATGGATAAGGTCGTATATGACCTATGTATGGAAATACAGTATGACCTTAATCCGTTCCTAATGTTTGGACTTATACCGAATAGGACGTATACCAAACCAACCTTTCCCATAAGAAGTAATGTAAAAATGATTAATTTATTCTCAAGTAAAAAAAATGGCTGGCTTTGAACACCTTGCTTTCCTGGCTAGTTCTTGCTTGATTTTTCATGAGATCAGCATGTATCTTTTTAGCTTTCTCACAAATAATTTGCTTCTGATACGCTGTCTCTAGCACACTGTTTTTCAGTTATCCAAAGAAAAAGCAATTTCTCAACATGATCTAATGTCTTCGATGTCTGTTTAGAAATTGATTTAACTCCTTTCGCAATGTTAACAGATTTAATAATGTCTTTATTTTTCACAATTGTCAATATCGTTGTTCTCTGAATACGGTATGAAACAGTTAAATCTTGAACACACACTTCATATTTCTGAATGCCACCTTCATATTTCTCAACAATCTCTTTTTTAGTTCTATTGTGATTCTAGTCATTTTTTTAGTTTTCTGTTGCTTTTCATTTGCCTTTTTGCAATTCATGATTAATAAAAATAATAAAATGTTACTTACAAATTAAAATCAGAAGAAATTTAACAAAGTTATAAACCATGGCACTGTGAACATCTAGTCTGGTGTAGTACACTGATAGTGCTAC